AATTGATTTCCCATAAAGAGTGAGGTCTGGACAGTATGATTGGACTGCTGGTTTAACTTGCAATCAAGGACCATGAAACATATCTGATAAATGTGAAGGTGGTCCTGAAATTGCCTTTTGATTTTTTATCATTTGAAGTTGCAATTGACTCTGGTTTAAGTTTTGTAGTATTATCTCAAGTGTAGCATAAGGCCCTGGTTTGATCCATTTGTGTATATCTGTGTTTATTTGTACATGGGTGGTATGTTCTGATTTAACAATACATTGTAATAACATTAAAAGCTACCAAATATGCCATCAAACACAATGTTTGTGTTGTTGATAACAATTCAATGGTCATGATACTCTTAGAAGGTATTTTAATCACCGGCATTTCTGTCAAGAAAGAAAAATGAAAGTAACTAATTCGGTTTTATTACATACTATAAGAAAAATAACTTTTCATCCAATTAAATAAGTTGCTCAATCTCAGTTTTTAATCATCGGCTATACGCTTCATGGTACAAAATTATGTCAAGTTATACAGTGAGATATATAGTGCATGTGACCATATGAGGAATTTAGTTTCTGTGGGTGTATGTGGAGCACACTGTTGAAAGGTATAACCCAGACATAGCTGTATAGATATGACTTGATTTGAGGTCTCCATTTTTCTCTTTATTAGAATTAATGGAGAACTCTTTTATCAATGTTGTATTCGATATTGCATGAATGCCATGTGGTTTTCTTTCTCATTCCTTTACACCAGACTCAGTGGCTTTAATTGCATCAACCACGTGGTTTACACCTTGGAAGTACAGTGCATTAATCTGGGTACTAATAAGACACAGTTTCCAAAAGGTTATATTAACTTTTTGAGGTGAAATATAGTTCTGATCATGATTAATGTCATTATTCAAAATCAGTCATAACATTGGTGTTCATATTTCCTTGTCTGAGTAAATAATATTCATCTACAGTTCAATTTGACTTCAGAGATCATAATTTATAGTCACACTTTAACTTTATATGTCTTTTTGTCCCTTAGCAAATATTGTTTAGGATAAAATTATGGGTCACTGTTTGTAGATAGGTAATAAAATGAACCAATGGGCGATTACATTCCTTATTACTTTTGAAGATTACTTTTATATTTATTTATTTTGGGTTAATGTTTTACAAGTGAACATAATGAACTGGTTATTGGCATACTTTGCAAGGGTGAGTGGTCTCCCCAAAAGGACAAGGCGTCACGTCAGTCCCTTGTGCCCTGTGTCATACTTGTGCCAAGCACACAGCCTTCTTACTGCCTTACATAAAATTCCCTTTGGATTATGTTAAACTTGGTGAAAAAGCATGAAATTCTAGAAACTACCATTGAACATGCATCTGTACACATAGCTGTTTCATTGAGATTCATAAAATTGAAAAGAAAATTTGTATTTTGTTTAAAGGAATAGAGAGAAGTCCTCTGGAATTTTGTGAAATGAAATATTTTGAATGAGTTTTCCACTTGAGTCTGATCCAAACATGAGATATATGGCAACATAATCAGTAATTGCTCAGGGGCTTTAGAAAACAATCCAGCCATTATTATGTTGATTTTGGTTAACTTTTTTGTCTTGAAATTTTGGGGAAAATCTTATTTCTTTTGGTGCAATTAGTCTGACCACTATAAACTTGAATCATTATTACAATAAGTCATGCTTTTGGTCAGCCATTTCCGCTACTTGACTGTTTATTTATTTATTCAGTTTTTGCCATTCTGGAGTCTTGAGAAATCTTATTAAGATCATACGCCTGATCACAAGTTTATTTTATGGGCAACCAATATTTGATTTGACTGGCGATAATGGTCTTTTTATTTCAAACAGTTAATAAAATAAAAACTCAAATGTTCCCATTTGACTGATTGTGATCTGTATCATGTTCCAGTCACTTTACTTAAACATCAAGATAAAATCAGTTTACATTAATTTTGATCATGTTTTGGAAGTCTAAAGTCTATTTAATTTTTCATGAGCATGTTTTAATAGTGTCACTTTGAGTATGGCGACTTGCAACTGGTTTCAGTTTGTAATTAGTGGTAATAAAATACTAATGAACATGGTGCTTTTGCACTAAAGATGATGTTTTGAATGAAATGCATATCAATTCCAAGTAAGTGTAGTTGAATTTCTCAGATTTTCTGAATGAATTCAACATTTTACAAGAAACTTAAACCCCTGTTAGATTTAATCTTTCCCTCAAATTACCATCCTTTTCTTGATTAACTTCTTAATATCACTTTCTCAGAAATGAAATATAGGCGGTACTTTTGGGTTGTTCAACAGCGATCTCCTAAAAACCATGTCAGCGATATCAGGGTAAAATATCTTTTTAAGGGACTATGGGCCAATAAAATCTTTTTGCTCTCTTTACTAATCCCTTGGTTCTTCTTTATATACTATACATGTACTTAAACATACATGTGATGATGTTTTATACAAACTTTGTCCTTTTTCTGTTTTAATGTATTGGGTCCCCAACTGATATCTTATTTATTGGTTTATATGTTACATTTTGTTTATCATATATAGTGGTATAGTTTGGACCTACTGAATATAAATTAAATAGATAAGTTTGTTGTGTCATGAAATGAACTTTGATAACTATGATATATACACACTCTGTTGTATACCTTAAGAAAATACTAGATTCTCTTTTTAAGAAGATTATATGAAATCCATTTTTCAGAATCTTTTTTTGAAAATGATTCTTACAATGCTTTCGTCATAATGAGAGATTATACCATTCTTTGTTTCCTTTTGAGATATTACTATGCATAAAAGAATATACAAGTTTCAGAACACAACTCCTCTTGTACCTCAGTAGCTTCCATAAGTTCTCATTTCTAAGCTGGCATGTTCTGGGCGTGTTTTAGTTTGTTTCAGTGGTTGAGTTTCATGGCCGAAATCCTGATATAATGTAATAAATATGGATTGTCAAATATATATGTCACGTAAAAACCCATCTGTTGTTAACAACCTCACATATCATCTTATATTAGTTGAAAAAGCATAAGCAAAGGAGATAAATATAGATCTGCACTAGGATCTTATACAGCTCACCCTACAATTTTCTTCAGTAGTCTTTAATTAAATGCAGATAATGTGATCAAGATATCAATTGAAGAAAAAGAACATTATATTTAAGTCATGTTGAAGAGATAACCATTCATTTTATCAATTTATCAATTAAAGGTTTTTTATTTTGCCTGAATAATTCATATCTTAACATTTAAGCCAATCCTCAGAGCAAATAGAAGCAGAAGTTAAAGGGCAACATTCTCAAACAAAACCCATTGACCCATAGTAAGAGGAAAAGAGCTTGAAACCCAAACATCTAATTTTTTATTCATGTTGAAATAAATTTAACTTTGATGATAAGTAATATGTTCAACCAGAAACATTGCAAATGGCATGGATATTTTCTCCCATCAGTTATACTGTTTACTTGCAAGGTGCTGGCTTAGAAAATATGAGCAATTTGTATTTACTTTTGATGTAATCTAAAAATCAAATTTCAGCTGGATGTAATTATGTTATTTATTGTTTATATTGCTGAGAATATTATATATCTGAACATTGGGATTAGATTTGTATATGAGCCAAGTTAGCCTAAGTGTTTTGTCAGTGAGTTTACATACCTAATCTGGCAAGACCCGATCCGGATCAAATCATACCATGCATTATCTGATTATAACATACTTACATGTATTATATATACTGAAATTAAAATGAGGGTTGAAATATAATGTCTCTATTATAAAATGCTGTTCAATAAATAAGTTAAAAATATAAAATACAAAATGTCAAATGTTGCTTTATATATCTTTTATTGACTCTTTAGATGTCATATCATGACATATTAGTCATTAAGGTAGAGCAGTTCTTCCCATTGTCGAGTTGAAGAACTGGTATCTTTATCCTGGCTAGAACCATAGACAATTCTAGCCAACGCCAGCCTTTTATCGAGTTAGCAGTACTCTAGTAATCGCCGGTATAGGTCAGCAGTCATAGGTCAAAGACAAATCACAAGAAGTGCTTATACTAGATCAGTGTTCACAAAGAGAGGTTCTCATTGAGAGAGGTGTTCTCATTGAGAGAGGTGTTCTTATTGAGAGATATTCACATTGAAAGAGGTGTTCACATTGAGAGAGGTATTCACGTTATGATAGGTGTTTGCTTTGAGAGAGCTATTCACAAGAGAGGTTTACACATTTTACAATGTTTACTGTATACACATGTATAATATAATGATAAGATCATTTAAAATGACAATAGACAAAGTTAAACCTCTAACCCATACATTTATAAAATGGATGAAATATTAATTAGCAATCATACAAGAGATCAAAGATTCTCTTTCCTCAAACACTTGTAGATTTCAAACTAAATATTTCAATTTGATAAATCACTTCTTTGATGACAAACCTACAACAATCAGATATTCCAGTTTGCACTTTACAGACCATAAATGATTCTCATTAATTAGTAATGTATTTCTGGGATATAATTCTGTTCCAGATTTTCCCAGGGCTCGGGATAGATGCTGAAAGAGAATAGCATCTCCATTGAAAATCATTTCACGCTTTTGATTTTAAGAAGCTTCTATTCTATTGTTCGGTTTCCTAGCCACGCTGCCTTTATCTGTAAACTTTAAGGATAAGATCCATTTAAGGTCATTTTCCCACATCCAAACGGGGCATTTACAGATACAAAAAGAGTTTAGAAATTTGAATTTTAGCCGTTAATTTTCAGCACCATTGAGTTTGCAAACATCATCAGTGGGAATTTGATTCAGATGATTGGAAATTAAAGCGTCACCAATTTTTTAACAGTTCAACTTTGGGTCAATTTTTTGTTTTCTGATCCTGTATGCAAATATGCTAAAATCAAGATTACAGGACAAGCTGCCGAAACTTTTTATGTTACATAATAAATGATTATTAATCAATTATGAATTTATTATATTTCCAGATTGCAGACCATGTTCTGATGAAGAAATACTAAAAGCATACTGTACAAGTGACTTTGGTAAGTTTACTAAAATGTTAAAACATGTACATACTCTAATTATGTATTTAATGGGGTTGAATATGAACAATAAAAATGGGAAAAATGCATTCTGAATTACCAGAGAATCTCTTTGTCTAAAGCTTGTCCAAATTCTCTTCTTGTGATACACTAAAGAGATTCATTGGGTAGCTAACCTAATTCATAGCTAAAATGTTATCACTTATACTGTAGTGTATGTGAGAAAATTTTGTTACGTGTCTTCTGGAGTTCAGACTGTGGAACCATCAAGGGGAAAATTGATGGGCATTTTAATTATGTTTATTTTATACTAAAAGTATAGTATAATCAAATATTTTGGCATTGATGTATTTAGAAAGTACCATGTTATTATTTTCATTCTGATACTCATCACATATTTTTGTTTCACTATCTAAATGAAAAGAATAGATATGCCATTGTGATGTGTTATTTTAGCATACCGTATTCTCTGTAATTAGCGCCCAGGGCGTTTAGAAAATTGAAAATACATTATTTAGACCATTCTAATAAGCGCCCATGTATGAAAGAAATCAGAAATCCCGAGGAATTTCATGTATGGCAATTTTTCTTGACAAGAATGCATTTTCTTCAACATATTTTTATAATAATATGACAAGTGCTGTTATTGGAGAGAATACGGTAAAGATCGCTTAGACAATATTGACAGTGGTTGAAGACCCGTCTATGTCTAATTTATTTCCGGCACGCCCACTTTGTCATTATCACCGATTACCTTCAATATTTCCACTAGAGACTGCTGGATATCGATATAAAGTTATACATTATTTCTAATTTGATGAGAGATCATCATTATTCGTGCAAAAGTCGTGTTAAAGTCGAGAAACATTAAAAAGAAACCAGAAAGTTCACGACCTTGACATGCGCAGAACATCTGCGCAGTAGCTTTTGAAATTTCTGAATGCCGATAAAGAACAATTCCTTCATTCATTATGGACTATTTGGAGACAATATTAGCATGGTATGGTGTGGGAAGCACCCATCGATAGATATGTATCGAGAGGATGCATAGAATTACAAAACGCGTCGTGTTTACAGCAGTTTTAGGGTAAGTACTCTATTATCGCCCGCTCCTGGATTTTGAGAAATATTTTTTTCCTGATATATTCTTCAATTCTTGTTGATTCCTCGATGTTTCTTGAACTTTGTGAAGCGGGGTGGGCGCTTATTAGAGAGTGGGCGCTAATTACAGAGAATACGGTATCTACCTTTGAACATGCAGCTTAATTATATTTTTATGTTGGTATACAGCAAGCATTCTAAGAAATAGCCCGATATACATTATAAAGGAAACAGAAAGAAAGAAAACGAGTTAACAGTACTGCAGTATTTAATTGAAGGGAGATGTATAGTACAAGATAAGAAAAACAGAAAATGTTTTTTTTCTTTACTGTACTAGTTTGAAATAACATTGCTTTTCAGGCTGGGTTGTATTTTCTTTTCTTTTTTATGGCCCATGATTTTAGGAAGGTTGGTAGATGCTTTTCCAGCTGCGGTTGGTACAATATTTACATGTGAGAAGAGCAGGGTATTTTTGCCTAATTTGTTTGTTTAATTATTTGAAATAATACGACTTAAAGTTGAAAAATAATATAGAAATGCTAGAAAATGCGGGTTGTTGGTTTGAACTTATAAGAAAGGGCCTGACAATTCTATCTTTGGGGATTATTCTTCCAGCAAGTCTTGACTTGGGGTTAATGGCCCCTACCCAAGGTCAAAATGTCGTCCCCTTTGTCTGACAACATGACATTATAAGCATATGTTGAAATACATTGTCATACAGTACATTGTCATCATGACTTGTCATGAAGTTCCAAAAAGGCATCAAGGGTTCAGTATGTTGTGACAATGTGTGGTGGCAGAAATGTTTCTCAAGCTGCATGCATGGTGAGATAATTGTCCCGTTGAGAAAGCCTTCAGAAATCAAAAAAGTAGAGATACTGTACAATAAAAACGGTTGTCTGGAATTCTTACAGTATGTTAACGAAAACATTCATTTGTTTTATTCAGTATGAATTCCCCATTCCCTTTGTAAGAATTTGACTTCAAATCTCTTAATATGAAAAGTTTCATATAGGAGTACAAGAATTTTACTGTTATTTCTGGGTCTCTGGGTGCCTTTATTTCACTCTATTTTTGGATGTTAGAGATGACCATTATATTTCATTATCTATTGGGTTAGATGGAGCTCTTCACATCAGACAAACTCCTCCCCATCCTACAATAGTCTGACACCTCTCAAGATGTTTATAACAGTCTCTCAAATCGTGGCAATTTCTGGATAATTAGAACAGAGCTGTAAAGATAAATGAGATGAGTCATTTCTCACTTGAATTTCACTAAGATAATTGTCCCTATCAAGGATGACATAATGTTGTGCTTTTATCACATACTCTGGACAACAACAACTCAACAACTTAAGGCTACAAAATCCAGGATGTGTTCTTCCTCTTTCTACTTGTTTTAGACACTTGGAGACATCTCATATTTTTTCTCGATTAGAATCAGATACCCTGAGGTAAGGGTGCAATGCTTAGTTTTAACTCATCCTTAATGCATTTTAATAGATATTCTCATTTGAATTGCTGGATTAGGTTTTCATGTCAGTTTTATTGGTTTTCAAATTGATAATATCATCGTTTCAACAGTTCTTGTCTCTTTGCTTTGGGGATAAATAATATTTAGTTGGATTTGAAGTGATACCTATTCACATTTGAGATAAAACAAGTGATTTCTCATGGATTGAAACTGTGAATTCTTACTTCCTGATAAGTATTTCTCATGGCAGATAGCAGAGTTGGTGATGTTTGTGTATTAAACAACACCTCATTCATCACCTCAAGTATTCCTCAATGGGCTTTATCATAGAGCTCTTCAATAAAGGAGGTGTCAATGGCTGCCAGATATTTCTCATGTCCGTCTGCTTGTTTCAAAATAATTAAATCTTACTAAAAATCATCTTCTCATAGGGATGGTTTTTGAGTCATTTTTTGCATTTTCATAAAGGATTTAATTAGGAATTGTTTTATTAAGACTTGGGTAAGAGGAAACTGTTGGCAGGTATGACTTCATGTCAGTAGTAATGGAAACATTCTCTTTCTACCTTATCACATCTTATCTCAAGTTGAATGATGGTGGGAAAGTTTACATTGAATGAATAATAACAAAAATAAATCTTCTAGGTAGAATCTTTAAATCCAGAGGCTAATTAATTAGATCTGTTTATTCAAAGACTTGAGAAAATTGTGGCATCTATGCCTTTCTTTATCAGCCTGTACTCATTAATGTCAAATACGGAGAAATTCCTGTGGGAATCAAGAATAGAAATACATCAATGGTCTTAGGCAATAAAACATTGAGTTTGTCGTTGGGTATCACAACAACTAGTCACACATTGACTAATCATCTCGAAAAAGTGAAATGATTTGTATTAGTATTCTACCCCTGGACAACCATGTCATCCCATTCTTTCCCTTGATGTTTCCCAAAACAAAAAAATTACGAGTTTAAAATTTACAGAATGCCATATATAGAAAGGTGGGTAATTAATGGCAATGTTATGGAATGAATACATGTATGCAATTTCTTGAGTCTGGGAAATGTGTCAAATTTTCTTGCAATCACAATGTTGACTTGGAAACAAATGTTGCAATTAATCAGTTATTTAATCCTAATTTCCCATGATACATATGAGACAAAGAACAGTTAGGCCATATAGAACATGACAAGCACAAGTGACAAGACTCACCTGTGCAATTGGTCACAATGTCAGATCAACAAATATCAAATATTGGAATTGTAATCATTAATACAAATAAATTGTTATATTATATTTGATACATATTGCAATCAGACAGTCTCGTATATTTACTCTACATGCTATACGCTGTTACTTCTCAAATTACAACTAAATCTATAGTCTAAGTCATATAAATCTTAAAATCAAATGGATTGAAGGATCTCAAAGATTTCCCCATTGGATAGTGCATGTCACTGTAGTTATTAAGTATCCAAATATTAGGAAACCGGTGAAATTAAATGAATGGTTCATTATTTTTATTTCAAAAGGATTTGAGGGCTTATAATTTTGAGACCAATTATTTTTAGGATATTTCTGGAGGTGACGTTTTGAACGAGAATTGTGATTGTAATTAGCTTTTTTAATTTATGAATGTTTTGGAATACCATAGTTTCTTTTGTGCAAATGACACGAGAATTAGAATATGCGTCTTACTCGGAATTAATTCCATCTTCCTTCACTGCTTTTACATACCTCTCAGTCTGTGGTCTAAGGGTCTTATAATTGTATTTTACCCGAATCACAATATATTTCCTGAATGCATGTTATAAGTTCATCCAGATTTTGATATTGAGGTTAGATAAGAGAGTTTTTTACATGAAGAAAATGAAAAGCTGCTGTCACCTGCCCCAGGTTTGGTTCATGTTAAACAAACACCTATTTAGTTGTCAGATACATCCATATTTAGTATAACTATATGTTTTTTGTTGAGTGTTAATGTATACTATTCTTTCATTTACTGGTGTAGTGTTTCAATCTTTGCTCTAATGATGATGATCAAGTTAACTGATAGTCTGAAATCAAATTGATCAATGTCAGTATTGCGAATGGTGCCCAAGTATTGTATTGAACTGGACGTCAGTTTGGGATATGTCATAGGTTGAACAAGAAAGCTACTTTTGTTCCATGTTCATGCACAATCCTGAGGACACTTGCAGTTATGAGGTAACAAGGTGTGACACAATTAGGAACCAATACACAGATAATTTTTGATTTTTTTATGGCACTACCACGAGTTCTGGAAAAGGGTTCTTGAAGAAAGTCACTTTTAAAGATTTAACTAAGGATTATTATACCTTTAAATCATGGTTCCATCTGAAAATGTTCATGTCCAACTATATACAAGTACATTAATTCTAATTTCACAATAGATTCATTAGAT